TGTAATATGTGTTTGTCCTGTACTTAGTTATATTTATGACCAGTGTGTTAATGTCTCTGTATCAGTGTTATAAGAAAAATACACTATACTTGAATAATATCTAACACTTAACTGTAATAGCACTGTCATGTTCTGAGAAATATTTGAAATTGATTGGCAGTATAAAGTGGTAAGTGTTGAATTTACCTAAAAGCTGCATCTGTTCTAATTCAATAATTCAATAAGGCATATGTCAAGCCTCTAGTACTGTAAGTAAGTATGCAGAATAAAATCAGGTTTGCTATTTCAGACTTTATCAATGTTCTGTGACTGAACACTTGAATTCTCTCTTTCAGTACTTTATCTCTTAGTTGCTTTGTAATTCTCTTGATTTCCTTTCTAATAACACTGCTTACTTCTCCAGAATTTCCTTTTAAGTCTCATGAATCTCCTCTTGACTTCTTAGTTGTTCTACCCATGAAATTTTCCATCTTTACTGAAGTTGATTGATGGAGCAAGAGAAATTCAGATGTGCTGTTCATTCCAGAAAGTATTTACACTGCCCTTTCTGTAGCATGACAAATTCATCTGGTATTTGAGGAGATATATAGTGACAAACCTGTTCTATAGTGAGAAATAATTATATCTTCATTGATAGGGTGGACAAGAGTTGAATTTTCTGGGAGGTACTGTAAGAAAAGGTTACTGTCTGGAATCTGGGGGAGTTTGAGCAATGTGACCTTGAGGTTTTAGAAGGAGAATATACAGAGGTTGTAACAGCAGTAGGACTATAATAAAGAGTGGGGGGAGCTTGGAGAAAAAGTGCTATGGTGATATTTCTCAGCTATTAGATAAATTCAGCAACATTCACATTGCCCATGGGGTCTTAATGTGCTGATTCACATCACTGTAAGTTGCACTGGGTATGTGTAATGTGAGCTGTATACCTAACACAATCTGCATGGATTTTTATGGATCTGGCCATGACTGAGAGAGATCAGGTGCCCTTCTTTCCTGTGCCAAGTTTGGGGGAATTGAAATGGGGTTGGCAAAGGTATTGCTGAAAAGCACATGGAGCCACTCAGTCCATAGAAGACCAGGTAAGTTACAATACTGTCATTTGGGCCTTGTTGTTGTTCCCTTCCCAATTTCTGGAATAGTCAGCAGTCACCCAACATGAAAAGGAAAGGCAAGAGCAATAAATGCAGTTGAGTAGGTTTGCTAAGAGGGAATGAAGTGAAAGATCAAAGGTTGATGGCGTATCCCAGGATTGCTAAATTTGTAATTATACTGTTAGGATAGTTGTCTCCAAAGGAATGGTTGAGTCATTAATACAAATTATGTTGTTAAGGAAATTTTGTTTAATTGCTTACTGTGAATGTGAAGAAATACTGGTGGAGAATTGGAGGGAAAAGAATGGCTAGTGAATCTTGCAGTGCAAGGCAAGGAAGAACAGTGCTAGGAAAGAGTCTGAGCAGTAGACAAGATTGGAAGGAGAGACACTGAAGGATATACTTCTATAGTGCTTGTAGAAAATGATGGCGAAATCTGAGAGGGTAGTTTTGTAAAATCCAGATTTGGGATCAAGTTGCTGAATTGGCAGGGAGCTGAAATGCTGAAGTCTGCAGACACAGCAAGGATGAGGTGGGTTATAGGCTTTGGGTATTGCTCATAGAAAACATAGGAAGATCTTGGTGATATTTTTGGACTGGAGCCAGTCCAGCAATAAGTCAGTCCAAGGAAGTTCAGTCTTTGACTTGTACTAACTTTGTTTCTAATGCTAGACTGCCCTGGCCACAACTTGGGCCCTTAGTTCAATATTGTGTTTGAACTATCCTGCTTCTCCTTTCTTTGTCCTTACCCTGTGTTCAATGAAAAGTCAAAATCTATTGCTCTGTCCTCTGTTAGTTTTTCTCTCACTCCTTGGATCAAAGACCTTCTCAAGACTTGGTTTTGTGCAATATACATTCATGGTGCTGTAAGCATTATTATCTTAAGTTTAGTTTACTATAGCTAACATCTTTTTAATGGAAAACAAAACAAAATACCATTAGGTATTAAGTCATTAATATTATTTTTGAAGAACTTTTACCCAATATCATCATTTTGAGCCACTGCTCCTCTTACATTCCTCTCTAGAAGGAAACTATCGCTCTTTTACTTTATGCAATGTGTCTAATTTAAATTAACTGAATATGGACTTTATTTAATACAGTAATATGATAATATAAACCTTATAAGTATATAAACTATAAATATAAAACTTTTTCCTGCTTTTCTGTTGTGTGAATGTCCACCTTGAAGTGTAATCTAATCTGGTTTATTCACTCTTGGTCATCCCTGTGCTAATGACAGGACACAATGTGTGCTCATATTTTTATTCAGTAAATAAACTTTTATAGTAAACTACTCTGGTGGGATGTGTCATCCACGTCAAGTCTGTGGGTGGGCTTAATGGTGCATCAAAAATTTGTTGGGAGTTGTTTTAGCCCTTGGTCAGCAGTAGCGCTGAGACAACTAGTGGTGGGGGCTGCAGTGTGCCTGTATGTAAAAGGGGGGCCCTGCAGTGTTCTTGCCTGCATTCCTTCTGCAGTGGCCTCACAGAATCACTCTGCTGCATCTGGGGAGGAGGCTGAAATACTGTTGTTTTCCTGGCCCTGAAAGAGCCCCTCCAATTTTAACAACTGCTGAATTTATTCCCATGAAATATGTTTGATTTGTACAGCTGTCTTGGACTGATTTCACCATGCTGTAAAGATCCACCAAAAGGTTTTATATAAACTACTTAATTTAGAGCCTTATCGTATCTGTAATTTACATAGTCTTATCACTCCATTCTGTTTTACTGCTAGAATATGTTTGCGTGTGATAATGTAGCACAATGTTGGCTCTCCTTAATATGTTAGAAAGAGAAGGCATATTTTAAAATCCTTTAGAACGCCAAAATACGCCAAAATACATTGATGTAGTGGGTTCTGACTGATGTTGTATAAATACATCAAAAGGAGGCAGGGAGTTCTGTTGCCAATTCTGCCACTCCTCAGAGGATTTTCACCAAAAGAAGAGTAAAAGCAGTAGCATACCTGCAAAACAACAACATGTCTTTTTGGAGTTGGGGTTTGTGTTTGGGAAGAGGAGGAAGCGATTTATCAGTCTTCCTCTAAAAGCAGAATGGGCTGTATTACATTCAAAAGGAAGAACTGGACAAAACCCTCCTCTGATCCCATAGCTGCACTTGGCTTCAGTCAACTTTGCGTTGTATTGATTACTGGTGTTAAAATTATCTACTTGTTGCGTAGTAGAATAAAATATTAATGGAGAAGATCCACTTAAAAATTCTAAAAGAACCGTTAGTCTTTTTTCAAGTGGAATTTACTGGTAAGTCTGAAGCTGTTCACAAAGTGACTTAATTTAGTCATAGTACTAAACAAAATTGTAATTAATTACGAAGATCAGAATGAGATACCATTGTGCCACTCTGAAACTCTGAATATGCTACAAGCTTTGGATTTCTGTGATCAGAAGACTGAAATAGTAATACCTGTAGATGACATAGATGATTTTTGCATGCACTTCAAAGAAAAGAAATTGAATATCTGATTTTGGGAAAGATAGAAAGATGGATGATGACAGCACTCAGATATTCTGCGACTTCAACTGAACGCACATACTTCATCACACTTACATTTTACCTTTTTCCAGTAATAACTGATAACTGTGTCAAGGATTACTGGGAATTACAAAGACAGAAGTAAAGTTGATTTGGTGATTTTATAACTTTGGATTAAATGATGCATCTGTTTTGCTTTTTTGCTTTTTGTTGCACTATATAGATTTTTGGGAGGGAGGGTGAAAGTGCTACTCTGAGTAGTACTGAGAGTTTTAAGTCATGTACTTTTGAGTGTTTTATAATTCTTTTTTTTTAGCAGGATGAGAATATTTCTACTAATCATTGTTTCCAGATGCACTGAAAAGTTTTACACTGATGGATTTTGGAAGGTCTTTTTTAATGTGCTTTCACAAAATTTAAAAAAAGTTAGTGATTGGTGAGAGTATGTAGAAAATCTGGCCTAGCATTTGGAAATGGTCAAACTGTGTTGTGTATCAATGTAACATTGTAACTGCCAGGTGAGAAAAAACCCAAAAAACTATTATGAGCTTTGCTTTATTTCAACTTGGCTATCCCATAAAAGATTTCGTTTTGGTAAAATTCACCGAGTTTTTATTAAAAATGCTTCTTACTTTTTCCCTTCAGTTCGGGAAACTCGTAACCAAACAATAACTTAACAAAATAAAGCAAACTTATTTTCCAGGAGGTTTTATAAAAAATGAATGCCTATTCTTTATTATGCATGGATCTTTTAATTCTTGTCATGCAAGGGGACCAACTTTGGGCTCGGGGTTTGGGATTGTTATGAAACCCAGGGCATACCCCATTTCTTTGGCCTTACCTACCTGCTCTGGTAACAAGGACAGATTCAGTGTGGAAGATCTTATTGTGCCACACACTGATTAGCAAAAATCCCAGAATATACTCTGGTCATCTTTTCTTCCCTAAAGAGCTGCACTAAGATGCAATAGCTTTGGTGCAACTAATTTTAATTTCAATGAGCATTTGTAAATAACTGCTTTCCTTTCCCTAGGTATAAAATGCAAATGCACTTTTTTTTTTCCAATGAGTCTAGTATGCCAGAAAAGAACTGAACGAATAAGACCTTCAAGAAACTGTCAGATATGCGCCATATTTTGGGTTTAGTTAAAATCGTTTAGAGCAAAGGCCATTAAATCAGAGATGGATTTTTCCCAAGTTTGCTTTGTTACATGACAGTGTTTGAGTTTACATTTTGTTTCCAGCTAAATGCAGGTAAAATTCATGTTGGTATATATGTATGAGATTTATACAAACAAACAATATTAATAAATATGTAATAAAATCAAATATCTTTTCTTCCTGCAGTATCAAGTCTTCTTCCTCCTTTTCCCAACCCCATTAGACCAAATATCTTTATTTTTCTTCGCAGATTGAAATGCTAAGAAAGAAAGTCAAAGAAAAGGAATTATTTATAATACAGCTTTTAGAAAAGATTTCTTTCTTAGAATGTGAGGTAAGGCATTATATAATTGTGATTGTTTTCTGAAATCCAATAAAATTGGATCTGGCGTCACCTGATGCTGCTTAAATGCATGTTTACTTCTTATATTTGCTGTTCTTCAGTAAACAAAAGTTTGCTGAAATTAAACACCTGTCACAAGATGAATGTTTGTAATATAAGGTCTGGATACTTCCATTATAGAGACAAAGTTTGTGTTGTTTCTCAGCTTCCTGGGGCTGAGAGGGAAGTAGGTTCCAGTAAGCAGCAGGAGATAACAAGAAGAATGGGTATTAGGTAGCCTGGGGTTTTGGTGGTTATGAGGGCCACTGTGTTTCCACACCCATGCTCCAGGTGATGTCTTCATCTACCCAATGAATGGGAATAGATGTACAATTTCATGTTAGCTTTGTTATCATACAATTTTATAAGTGTCGTAAGTTCTTAAAACAGAAGCTGCTGAAAAAAGATGGTTGATTTAATTTATTGTATTCCCCAGAAATAAGGAGTGTTTATTTTCTCAGTGAATACTTTTACATTATTTATTATGGAGAAAAGCCAGATTGGAATTTTATTTTCTCATTTAATTGACATAGCTAATTAACATAACTAAAATAAACTTGTGTTGAAAATGTTTTCCAGAATAAAGAATTACAAGATAAATTGGACTATTTAATGGAAAATCAACCAAAGACCCATGTAGAAACCAGAGATGCTGGTGTAGGATGTGATCTTCCATATAGGTATTTCAATTTTCTTGTTTATAGCAAACTTCTTCACAATGTCCCTTATCAGCACTATGTTAGTACACTGTTAGAGTGGATTGTTGAGTTCTGCAAAACATTCCTAATTTTCAAAGAGCACCTGGTAGATACAAGATGTAATGTTCTTCAATGACTCGAGCAGTTTTAGATGCGAATTTATTACAGACCCTTGGTGCTTAGTTGCAGTAATGTGAACAGCTAGAAGTGAAGATATCTGACTTTGTGAAATGTGGAAAATATTGATGAATTGTGTCTGCCAGCACCACAGCAGGAGACAACGGTCAGCACTGCCCTGAACCTGTTCAATGCTGGCTTCATGAATGCTTTATTGTTTATATTCCACAAGATGCATCAATGACCACTTCAAAGGGGGGGTAACACCAACAGTAACAGTCTAGAACTGCAGAAGTTTTTGGAACTGTCCTAGCACTAAGTGGACTACTGCCAAGTAAACAGCACAGATTATCACTTGCACACTGGGATGCCTTTCTCTGTTCTCTGACAATGGGTGAAGTTTAGGCCTCCTTTCTCCACCTTCCCCTCCTTAATTCCAAACACTGCAGTAGGGTTGTACTGAGACCTGGTAGCAATGCTATCAACTTTGGCTTGAATCTCTCCCCAAGAAAATCACCACAAGGAAGGGTAAAACTGTAAGGTAAGGAGGATCACTGTATATTACTTTAACTACCAGCAGGTAAACTAGTTCATCTCAACTGCCCTGCAAATCGAATTATTTTGTTTGATGTAAATTAGCATATAAAATCAGAAAGCTGCAATGCACACTAAAATTTTCCTTTCTAGTTTAAAAATACACTCATGTCAGTGTTCTGCCTAAAGCATATTGTAATGGCTCTGAAATGTCACAGACTGTTGTTTTTCACCCAGGACACCAACATCTTTGTTGTCCCCTCTGGGTCCCTCTTTCACATAACCACAGCCCCAGTCATCTGATGCTTTTCCTAGTTTTATATTTATCTTTGACCTCTATACTGTTTAGATTTTATGGTATTATACTTCACAGTTAATTGTGTCCTTACATTTGATTTTACGGTCTTTAGGATCTTTAGGTTAAGCAGCTGTATTGCTGGATATTCCAATATGAGCTCCAGTTGATACTTGCATGGCATGTTTTTTATCAAATATTATTTGCAGCATTATATAAAATAAATATGGAACATACCAAACACTTTGAATAGTGTAATTTTAGCCTATCAATAACAAGGCGCAGGTTTACTGCAGTGTCACTTTCAGCCCAGTTGTCTGATGCTCTGACGTTAACCCTGCAATTTTTCTTGTATCCTCAACAGTACAAATAATGATAACGGAAGATCTCCTGAAAGCACAAGGCCAGTGAGGACATACACCCCATTCAAGAGAGTGTTGGAATATAGCACAAAGAACAGTACTTCTTGAGCATCCAAGTCAACGTGCTTTCTAAATACAAACAAGTATTTTGCGCCTTTGCAGCTTGATTAGATAAATTTTTATCAAGTCATAGAGAAGAACAGCAGCATGGAGTCTTGCTAAATTTATCCTGAAAGCAGCTTTTTAGTAGCTTCCTATCTGAAGTTACTACTGATATTAACTGTGAGGGAGATAGGCAAGAAGCGGGATGAACGAAACAGCAGTCTATATTGCTTCTTTAGAAGCTGTCTAGTGCAATGTGTCATTTCAAATACCTACAAGGAAGGGGTTGTATAGCTGTACAGATTTTCTTCAAATGTGTTCTAATTTCATTTGTACGATGAATCTCTATTTTGTTTTCAATACTACCAGAAACAGAATCTAAAACTACCTTGGCAGGGGGCATTAATCTCAAAGCTCCTCCTTTGTGTGCAGAGTGTGAGAGCTGTTCATGCTTACCATAGAGACCTGCAGTGACTTAGGGCTCCATTCACACAGAACAAGTTGACTAGGAACAAGCATTCTCTTGCTGGGAGGGAGAAATGCAACTGGGATGTTCTCAGGAAATTCCCTCTACGCATGCAGATGAATGTTGTGTTTGTCACTCAAAATATTAAGTGATATAGCAGCTCTATGATGGATTTTGCTTTATTGGTTGAATATGTGGTTTGTACTTCCTAGTCACGGAGCACAGTGACCATTGGTGATACACTCACTAGTGACAGGGTAGGAAAATCCCCGTTGCTTTTTTAAAATTGCTTTTGCATTACAGGAAGGAATTCTCACTGGACAGCATTTTGCCTTCAGTAACCTTCTGCAGTTCCTGCCATTCCCACATCAATAACTATCCTGAATGATTATTTTGATTTTGAGTATGCTTTCATTCCCTACAAACACTTAAAATCTTATCCCCAACTTCAGAGTACCAGCAGAATGACTGCATCTAACAACTGAATTTATTTATACGGTCTTAGTTTTTACATTTTATTTTCATCTCCCAGTTTTATTGAAATAAGTTTAGTTTAGTATTTTCTTGTATTCCTGTTGCCATCAATGTGGCAAGATTTTTTCTATTACAGCAACTGCTGTAGAAAACAAATAAGTTGTTTTGTATAACTCCTGTATTGAATATGAACCCCAGGAGGTGTTCATCTTGCCACAGGGCTGCATAAAATGATTGCTTTTATCTCCAGTCTAATGCAAGTTTTTAAATTCAGTACTCTCTGTTCAATTAATATACTCAAAATTGTATTTAAAATAATAATATTTAACTCATAATCCCAATCTTATTTCTGCATTCTTTCATGGTTTTCTTAACTTGCTAGAAATCTTAGTTTATTCTTTAACTGTGCTGTTTAGCTACTAAGTAAAGAAGTCTGTACTGGAGCATGGAGTGGAGGATGTCTTGATGCAGTACAAGTACCTCACAGAAACATAAATTGCTTGGTGTAATTAAAGCAAAAGCAAAATAAAATGGGAAACTCTAACTTCTCCATTTTTTATGCTTGGATCATCATCCATCTGCATGTAAGCTATTTTTTTTTCTTTATGACCTGATCAACTCCTGAGAACTTAGAATGGTCATTCTTCCTAAAAAGTCAAATGCAGTATTGTGGATTATTTTATGTGTAGAATTCAAGAAATACTGCAGTCAAAGCCACCGACAAAAACGTAATCTATCTACTGTTGAGGTAAGCCTGTAATCTTTATTGGACTAAAAGTCACAAACATTAACAGTTGCTCAGTATTACTTTAAAAAAGAAAAATTCAAAGTTTTACCAAGTTAACTTAATAGCTCTAAATGGGAACTCATGTTTAGTATGCATGTGATGGAGTGAATAATTACTCCTAGATATCAAAAGGGGAAAAAAAATAGCTATTGCCTTAGTGAATAGAAATTATAACACACATTTACTTGAGTTGCTTCTCCCAGAGCAGAAGGAAAGGGCTTGAAAGGGAGGTCTCTGAGAATTAAGAATTCTACTCCCTTTAAAAGGTCCTCAGGCAAAGCACCTCATTGTACAAGGCAGAGGAATACCAAATGCTGGAATATCAAAGATGAGAAACCAGCTGACAGGTGCAGAAGCTGTAGCCTCAACCCCACATAGAGTGTTCTTGATTGAAGTTTTCATGATTGAGTGTGTTTGGGAGATTGAGTTCCCAAATAACAGTTAATTTGATCAATACCTAATTAATTAGGTTGTGTACAATGAAGATCTTGAAGTGGAACTTTTTAAACATTTTAAACATTTTAAATGGAAGTGTTTACTGATGAGCACAAAAGATGATGGGTAACGGCCCAACCAGTATTTCAGGCACAACGTTTGTATGTGTGTAATCATATCTCCCTCTAGTGGCTCATAGCAGCAAAAATTATTAGCTGTTAATTGGACAATGTGGTTTGAAGAGAAAAACACTGAAGACTATGCCCAAATGGCCATGCCAATATCCGTTATGGATGCAGCCTCAGTTCATCATCAGCCTGTTACCATTTTATGTGCCCAAACAATCTGGTTTCAGGATTGAATTTATGAAGTGTGATTAGTGAGTTATGTTCAAAAACAGATTAACTGATGAAGGTTTTATTTATAGATAAGAGGAAATGCAAGTTGTTGTGATAGAAAGACATCAATCGTAAAGTGCAATTAAGTAAAAATACTTCATTGATCTGTCTGGCTTGAGCCAGAGTTCAGAAAACAGAGTCTCATAGCTAAATGCTCTGGCTTTAGTAGAGGAGAGCAGGGTGAAATATCAGAAGGTTTTGATTCAGACTTCAAGAGGAACTTCATTCTGCTTCTAACATATTTCTGAGAATATCTCTGAAAATACTTCAGCTTTGAGACTTGCAAAATGCTGATCATCTGCTCAAACCTGCACCCAGACTGCAGAAATATTTCCCGCACAAATTTTCCATGTAAACTCTATTCATGCTGTTTTGTATTTTGATATTCAGTGCGTTGGATGACCATTGTTTGATTGAACTATTGGTCTAAATTTGGTAGCTGTGAAGAGCAGGAGAGGAACAGTATTTGTATAACTGTGTTACATGAAAATATAGAGCTTTCCAGTCAAATCAATAGCAATGTAAATTAGCAGAGATAATAACAAATCTGGCTGAAAAAACTTTAACACTTCAGTACAAGTTTTGTCAAATTGAGATTGGAATGCTTAGTACTATAACATTAGAAACTAGTAAAATTTCTGTAAACATCAATAAAAGCCATATAGGTAGGTTCCAGAAAGTACATCAAATATAAGTCAATTGTATGACTTCATTTGTACCACGGTAAGTGTTATTCTGTGATTTATTCCAGATCTTCTGGAAAGTATTTTGGAATACAGTTTTCATATATGCTGTGTAAATAGTGCAATTACACTGTATGCTTTTAAAACATCCTGTATGTAAGACTTGAAAAGGATGAACTGTAATAAATACTGTATTTAAAATTTCTATTCTGTTGTGTAAATATTCAGAAATAAACTTACCTTAAACCTTGCAAGTTTTACTCTACATATTCTTGTTTGTTCAAAACATGTATGAATGCAGAAGTGGTTGCTCTGCAGCCTGAAATCCTTGTCAGTGTTTCTGTTGGCAGATGTGCTCTTGAGACAGGAAGACACTCCCTAGCTAAAGACTAAAGACTCTTCTCAAAGCCAAGTAACAAAAGTAGACGAACTCTTTTGTAGAATAAAGAACTATTGACTTGCAGAGGATAAACAAGACATGGGCAACATAACATTCTCACTTACAAATGAATCAGTAAAATCAGTTCCCAAAGATAACATCTGACTGCAGCTGGGATGTTGCCCTCCAGCTTTCAGAAGAATGAAATTGGGATGAATGTGGCCCTGTGTTTTGTTGTTGTTGTTTTTAAAGTTTATATCCACTCACTGTTAACAGCAATTTATCTTCCATGTCAACTAATTACAAATAGTTTTTTCAAACATTACAATTACCATGTTAGTGATTTGCAATACTCAACTGTAGAATGTGAAGCTTTTATCTCACTAATATTCCTGTGTATGTCTCTTCAGCAGAGACTGACATGAGAACATCATAAAATCATACTGAGATCATGCTCAGTGGTGATACTACAAAATAGGATGCTGTGAGTTGCTTTCTCAAGTTTTTGGGAGAGGCTTTAAGTCCTCATTTTGACATCTGGAGACTTTTAGAAGTGGATAAACAAACAGGTAAGAAGTATTGTGTGAAGTAAGTGTGTAATTCTGTACAGAAAATACTTACTGCACAGAACGGAGACACACACTGACAGTTTCATTCCACTTGCATCCTATTTCCTTCCTATTCAGCTCTTGGAGATACTTACACTTGTAAAAGAAGAAGAGCCCTGTTGAGTGTAAGGCCCTTCTGACCCTAAGCTTCAGCACTAGAACAGGGAAGAAATGCAGAAAAAGACAAGGTTGTGGCAGTCATCCACAACTTGAGGTATGTGAGAACTCCCCAAAGTAAAAGGGACCTGGAGATTGGAAAAAAAGTACAGAAGTGCGTAGGTTTTGTTTGCAGTGTTTTAGAGAAATAAGGTTATGGGAAGATAAATTACTATAATGACATATGACAATGATTTATTGTTTTTAACGAAATGAAAACAAATCATTTTAGTCCTAAATATTCATACAATTTTTTTTTCTGTTATGTCAGGAGTGGTTTATTTTGTGCGTGTGGCTTGATTCCAGTTTGCTTGCCCCCAGTATTTCCATCTAGGAGCAGGGAAACAGAAAGTAGGTTTTCTCCCATCAGAGCCTAATTTCTTAAGTCTTAGGATTTCTTAGTGAAGAGCATAATGATCTATTTATTAAAATGGGAGATAGGAGAAAAGGACAATGAAAATGATACCCTTACCAGATAAAGTAACGCTCTTGGTAGTGTTAGCTTTAAGACCAGTTATGACCTGTGTACTTCTGACAGAAAGTTCTCTCACCTGTAAAAAAGTCATGGCTACCTCTCTTCAGATGCCATCTGACTAGAATACCCATTTTGTGCTTTCTTCACAAAGTTTACTCTTTTGTTCATATACTTGATTTTCTTCATTGCTATTCTAATGATTTAATTTTCTCATAGACCTAGCATTAAATTGCATACTAATTACAGGCATGCTATTGTAGAATAAATTGAATTCTAAGTATGTGACGGAAAACAGACCGTCTGAAAACAGTGCCTAATGAGAGCTCTTGAAATAATGTCCTAAGAGCATACTCTTACATAGGAAATAATTAAAAAAACCCCAAATAATAGTTTTTTTTATATACATAGCTCACATGAGTGTTGATCGACTGTTGGAATAAATGATACAAAATAAAGCCTAAAATCCACTTATGGTCTGGAGAAAACAAAAAAAATATTGCTGAGTACTGCAAATAGTGGCGATGTATCAGTTTCCCACAGGAAAAGAGCAAAGTGCTAAGGCTAATCTTGTACTAGCTACTGCTGGATAGTGATTACTGACATTCAAAGTGTGGCTAGTAAGGATTCTTCTTGCTCAGGACAAACAAGGCTACAGTTTGTAATTTTTCCGTTCTACTTCTCATCGACTGAGAAAGCATCCATCTACTTTTCCTTCCTGGCATTTGAATCTAAATCGATGGTCTAGATTGCATTGCATCTAGATGCTGCCCCTTGTTTCATAAATGAAAAATCTTTCATTCTAGCACCTGTCGAATGTTAGCCATCAGTTCATCATTATGGAACTGTGTGTCATCCAAAAACAGATTATGGTATTCCAAAATTTAACTCCCATCAACTGTAAAGATGAACAATGTAACTTCCCAATGACCTTGGACAAAAGAGGACTGCAGAATGGTGTTCCAAGTAAGGATAGCAAAACTATCAGTCATGACTCCCACAGTCCTGTTATTAGAATACTTTATTCTCTTCATCTTTTGTTTCTTTTTTTTTTTGTGTGTTTGCACAGATGAGGAGATAGGCTGAAACTCACCATAATTACTTTTCTGCATATGTAGTTACAGCAGTTAGACTGAGATGAGCCATCATCACCTAAGTGCAGAGCAGCAGACTAGTGAGATTATTCCTTTGCCACTTACACAGAGGCAGAATCAGTTTCCAAGCCCAACCTTTTTTTTTCCGAATCTGCACAGGAGAAAGAGGCTAAACGTTGAGTTACAGCATTCCTTCTTGCAAGTGCCAGACAGCACAACAAGACAGCATTACAATTCAGAAAACTTGTGTTTGACAACATTAAGTGATCTCCTGGCAACAAAAAGTGTTTTCCTTTTTCCTGAGCTCTTGAGAAAAGTTTCCTGTGGGATTTTCTGTGGGAGATGATCCAAGTTGTACGTAACAGGCAGTGAGGTGGTCCCTGCAGCCAGGCACTTGGCTTTTTTCGCCCCTCCATGCTGTTTTTCCATGGCAGCTGCCCACCTGGCTCCTCTCACTTCCCTGGGCCCTCAGCCCTTCCGCACACCTCCCAGCTGCACAAACAGAGGGGCACGCAGCCATCTCAACACGTTTCCTCCTGCAGGGCGGGCCGGCCGGCCATCCTGCTCATACAACAACAGCTTAACAGTCTGAGAAATCCAATTCTTCCCCGTTATGTGCACCAAGGGACTGGGCTGCACCAAAGCTCCCCGCAATGAGCACACAGCTCAGGCTGTACTGCTGGGCAGCGCTCAGCACTGCACTCAGCACTTCTGTGGCCATGAAAGCCTGAAGCAGTGTGTGCACACTGTGCTAAGGTTTGCATTCCTACATTCAGCCTCTGTTCAGCACTTGTAAATATAAGCATGGTGTGAAAAGAGAAACTGTAATGTATCACAGAATGGCCAGGGTTGGAAGGGACCTCAATGATCATGAACCTCCAATCCCTCTGCCACATACAGGGCCACCAACCTCCCCATTTAATGCTAGACCAGGCTGCCCAGGGCCCCATCCAACCTGGCCTTGAACACCTCCAGGCATGGGGCATCCACAACCTCTCTGGGCAGCCTGTTCCAGCACCTCACCACTCTCCTAGTAAAGAATTTCCCCCTGACATCCAACCTAAATCTTCCCTCTCTGAACTTAAAACCATTTCCCCTTGTTCTGCAGTTATCTACCCTTTAAAAGAGTTGATTCCCCTCCTGTTTGCAGGCTCCCTTTAGGTACTGAAAGGCTGCAATGAGGTCACCCCGCAGCCTTCTTTTCTCCAGGCTGAACAAACCCAGCTCACTCAGCCTGTCTGTAGTGGAGCTGCTCCAGTCCCCAGTCTTCTTCATGGCTCTCCTC